TGGAGAATTCCACAACAAATAGAATGCATCTAGATAAAAATTTCGAGTAAATACCAGAATAGGTGTTGAAACCTGCGATTATATTCTTGTTGATATTCAACCAGAATTGGAGATAAAATCAACTAAAATATTTTGTTCCCTATACTATTCGCCGCGTCTGCCGCCGCGATTGCCGCCCGACTCCGTGGCTTGTACCGTACTGATTCATACATTTGTTTCAGTCGCCCGCCGCGCCGCCAGTCGCCCGCGCGATTCGCCCGGTAAATTTCGCCGGTCGCGTCGCCACTCGCCGCTACGCGTGGCATGCTACATACATTTCTATCCATTTGTTTTAGTCGCTAGACGCCTCGCCTCTCGCGCCGCGTGAATTTTCGCTACGGCGAATGTCCCGTGGCCAGGCTGTTAGCGTTGCCAATCATTGCTAAGCCACTGCGTCACGGAGCAGTCGTTTATATTGAATAAAAATTATTATACTCTATTGTATTCTAAATGACGAAAAAGATAAATATTAGGGCTACGTTCAATAGTATATAGATCAGCCAAAACTAAAAATCTTTCTTTACAAAATCTAGCAAATTATAAAACTCCTGATACTGTTAATGAGGTTTTTGAAAATAATACATGAATAACATAAACACTCACGCCTGTCACCCGAGAAGTAGGCAGAGATTACAGACTTCCATTTGGCACGATCCTGACACACCTATCTCACCTCCTTTACATCCATATATTTACGCATACACGCTAGTCGGTTAAGGGTACTTTTAATCTGGCCTATTTTCAATACATCGCCAATTTGGTCGATAAACCTTCATCTAGGCCGTCTTTTCTGCAATATAAATTTGCTTTGTTACTCTTTCCTCGTTCATTCTCTACATGACCAAACCACCAAAACATTCCTTTCTTAATCCAGGTCACATCATTTTGCAAACCTTACTTTTCACTTATTACATACTTGTCATTCAGTGTCAGCCATAAAATTTTTTAAAGGATAGGGTGACAAACGAGCACAGTCTACCTGATGGTAAGTGGTTACTGTGGCCCATAGACATCTACATCTATCCTCGATTACGAATCAAAATGCAGATGCGTTGTCACCCTTGAGGACTAAGATGGAATGTCTCGTTTCCAGTAAAATGGGTCTCCGGTTCTCTATACTCACCATACGAAACACAGCACCATTTGACGCCAGTATTCTGTGAGAGCGTGGTCCTTCCCCGGTCGAACCGACCCATTCGTGCTACAACTATACTACAAATAAAACTGCAGCAAGGCTCTACCACGTATAAAAGATCATGAAGATAATTAATACTTGAAGGATAAAGAAATAATATGGAAATAAGAAAAAACAACGACCCGATGATGAAGCGAAAACCTGGGGTAAGTGGAACAAATAGTGTTCCACTTTCACAGTTTATAGGCTAGCCCTCGAAAAATTTGGCGCATATCCGTGGCCTCACCTGCTCTAGACACCCCTTAGCAGCCCTTCCTCGGGGGAGAGGCAACCCGTTTCCTATTCCTTCTCAGGCAAAGCGCGCCGAAACAAAAGGTGCGCTTTCTTCTACTACCTCCGTCTTCACCTGCGCAATGGAATTCCTTGCATGGAGACCGTGGGGTCCAGAAAAACTGCCTCGGTAACACCAGACCTCCTTATATCAGCGGCAGTTCGCCACTTTATAACAGAATTCTGGCTATGTTTGTACATGTCTGGTTTTGATGATGTAAATGCTGTATAGCCTTTTGGCTTATACAGCTTTATAGGTCTCAAGGCCTCAAAAAAAATAGGCCAAAGACTCCTATGTCAGTGTACAGTGCACGTGGGTGAGTTATGTAAGGGCTCGTTTGGACGACTAACTCGTGATCCAGTATGAAAACAATATAAAACCACTTATACTGATTTTAAACCTTAACCGGAGCCAACATCTATTCCCATCATTGTATATTTTACCTGTTCAAGAGGGACGAAAGAGGAGCATGCATTTCACCTTAATACTTAATTGACATATGTCAATCACCTTGTGTCGAGTTGAATTTCTTCCGAGTTGGCACATCTCTAATTCTATTTTTTTTAATATTCCATAAGAAAAGATCTGAACACGAATAACAAAATAACCATTTTTTTCACATTTCATGTTTCAGTTTAGATTTTCAAAACATCTCTAGGCTATTTATAGTAATAAATTAGTATCTTTTTTTTTGTGTAATACCATTGAGGGTCGTTGAAATTTCTAGCGAGCCCAAAAACTACTGTTTCCTTTACCGAAATTTACATAGCACATATGAATAAACATTTAGTCTATTCTTTGTTTCACGTCAATGCCAAAATTAGGTTAAGATACTGTGTTTTTATTTAAAGTGAGTTGCGACAGAATACCAGCGGTAATCTAAAATCACCACGCTGAGTCACAGGCCAGTTTGTGTCATTACTTTTATGTTTCCTATGTATGTTTCAAAGTTGAGTTGGTAGTTAGTGGTTGGTAGTAAGTTGGTAGAGTCATGCTGCAGTTATATTAGTAGTATAGTTGTAGCACGAATGGGTCGGTTCGACTGGTGAAGGACCACGCTCTCACAGAATACAAGCGTAAAATAGTAGCTTAATGCTGCTGTATTTCGTATGGTGAGTGTAGAGAACCGGAGACCCGTTTTACTGGAAAGGAGGCATTCCATCTTAGTCCTTAAGGGTGACAATACATCTGCGTTTTGATTCTTCATCGAGGATAAGTGTAGATGTCTATGGGCTACAACATCCACTTACTATCAGCTGGACTCTCTGCTCGTTTGTCACCCCATCCTATAAAAAAATTTGTGATGAGTTTTTGTACATCTTGCCTCATACAAAAATATGCTCTTTTCTTGAAGGTCCCAAACCCACCACCCAGCCTGGAAAAAATACTGATGAAAGCAAACTCCACAATACAGTCTCATGGAAAACTCATCGTACTGTGGTGGTCTCTGACGCTACATCCAAATCTTACTTCAAACCTAGTTCGTAGACGTTACATCGGACACGTGTATTCAATGGTAAGGAAGTGCCATTATGTTTGCGCGTATTATAGAATTACATCTCCTGCGAAGTAAAAAGCGTTCAGATTATTCAAGGCATGGTGTGCTTTGGGTGGGGTAGTATTTCATGCCAGAAGGTAGGCGAAGAAAATGAAGTATTACTGCCTGTCATATTGTTGACTCACACTGTTCCTAAAGAGCCTGTCACTGAAGACAGAACTGGAGTCAGAAGGTTCCTCGTTATATTTAGACGACTTTACCAGATTATTTATGGCCAGTATCTTCTTTTATCTCATTCTCTGCTGAATTTATATTTATTTGACATAACTTGTAATGAAGTTTGAAGTGATAACATTTCTGAATTAAGACACTCTACATTTTTTTATCCTTCTTTTCCACCTCCACCAATTAAAAATAATTTAAGTTTACCAATTAACTCTTGCTTGACACTATTGTCTTAAAAAGCACATGTCCATCCCGGATCTAAGCAACTAAAGGATGTGTCGGTTCTGTCCCATAATGGAAGAAACGCGTCAGCACATCCTAACTGATTGCGGACCCTTAATGCGCAAACGTAACATATGCGCAAAAATATCTGAGTAGATAGTTTCTCAGATGAGTGTCACGCCCAGAAGAAGTGAAATTGCTCACGGCTAAGCAACTCCATCTATTAATTGAAGACATAGGGCTTAGCAGTGAACTATAGCCATAGCAGCGATCACAATAGATGTTTTAGGTCGCAGTGATACTGGTCTTTTTCCCTAGACCTGCATAGCTGCTCGCACATAATACATACAATTGTATAACTTTTAGTATAAATTTTAGTTTTAACTAATTTTTACACTTTCCTAATATATTTTATTGCTTCTTATATATTTTGCACACCGCCTGCAACTTTACATGGTGCAAATTCGGCTACACATGGAATACTGATGTCATCCCTGGACCGTGACACCTCTGCGCCAGCTTCTTTCACTTGATCGCATCCACCGTACATCGTCGTCGGCAAATTTTGTGATTGGTTCGACTCACTGGCGCTGCGAAGAGATATTATTAATTGGAATTGTTCGGACTAATTCCAGCCGCTAAATTTCACCATCGCACATCGCGCAAACTCGCGATACATCTGAATGATTGGTGATTTACCACAACTTCCTTGTGGAATCGACTACCACCAGCGTTTTTTTTGGGCCAATACGACCTTCAAGAAAAGAGCCTACTTTTTTAAAGGCTGGTAAAACACCTGCAATTTACTTGGTGTTGCAGTTGTTCTTACAACGGTGAGCCACATACTAATTTGCCCCATCTTATATAATAAAAAGTCTTCGTGGCCTAAATTCAGTCAAGAGAAGATTATTATCACAGTTCGGACATTATTTATTCTGATGCAAATGTTACAATTTGGATTTTTTTTGGGAAGTTTTTACCTTGCTGATTAAAATCTAATTAGCGAAAGTGTTACTTTAATTTTGTAATATTTCCTGGTCTAAAACAAGAAAAGGAAGTTATGAATATAAAACCGTCAGAATAAATAGATTTATTCATGTCAAAATACTTTCATTCACAAAAATAAAAACACAAATATCAACATATATAAAAAAATATGAAAAGATACATTATTTTAATTTTAAAAAACCCACAAACTCAAGGCAAAATATGAAAGAAGAAAAAGAGTTTTGGTGAAACAGCACATGGTTTGCTGCACTTGTGTGGTGATCAAAATAAATGTTTTACATAAAAAATAATGCTATTTTGTGTATTAAATTTTGTCTACGATTCAACTTAAAACAATTTGTCGCTGAGGCCGCAAAGGGGTGAACCGAGAAGCTTGTGATCGGGTAAATAATAAAAGTTTTCTTGATCTGTATTTTTTTTAAATTAAGGTTCGCCATAAAATATTTCAAATTCATCATAAAACACAATCACGAATTAGTAGACATGGGTAATGGTGCCCTGCGCCGCGCAATTGCGGTAACTTAGTTCACTGTGGCGATGATTTAACTCACTTCTTTAAATTGTGTTGGTGCACAACGCAGGACTGGTAAATTAGTAAAATTGTTATTTTATATTATTTTTATAAACTGCAACTCTGTGAAATGTAAAGGGAGTTCTATTCATAGTGCCTATTTTATTTTGTGTTATTCCATCCCAGACGATAATCGGAATTCGTATATTATTTTTCTTCCGATTTTCACCTGTGCACAGTGGCTTATAATAATCTTTTTTGAATAATAATGATAATGTAATAAATAGCTTTTGTGAAATACTGTGAAAACACAAGAGCAAAAATTATGTATGTTTGGAATTCATTCGTAGTGGCTCACAGAAATAAAAACTCATTAAAATCTTGGCATAAAATTATAAATAATAACTATAAGTTAAAGACAAACATCCACATTTAGTAAAGTTTTTAAATTGCTTCCAAAAAAAAACGTCCAATTTTATATTAACACAAATATACATTAAAATTAAAATATATAATTACGTTGACTCAACAATGAAATTGGTGTTGGTCATTTCCTGAACATGTTGTATATTATTTATAATTTATAAATTACTTATTATAATATAAAACAAGGAAGTTTAATTTGGTTTAAATACAAATCGTAATATGATTTTTGTTTAAGTTTGTCGTAATTAAAATTAATGAATAATATGTTAAAGTATGAATATATTTTCTGTTGAACTGTACTTGGGATGGAAAGGCAGAACAACAATCAAAAAGTGAATTTCGATTATCCACCCCGTCTAGGGTGGATAAGCAGAATAACTTATTAATAACACTTACGTGGTAGAGCCACACTGCAGGTATTATGGTTGTAGTACGAATCGGTCGGTTCGACCGGGGAAGGTCCACGCTCTCGCAGAATACCAGCTTGAACTGGCAGCTTAATGCTGCTGTATTTCATACGGTCAGTTCTCTACACTGAGGGACCGTTTTTACTGGAATCGAGGCTTTCCAACTTAGTCCTCACGGGTGACAACGCATCTGCATTTTGATTCGTAATCGAGGATAGATGTAATGAAGGATAAATGTGGATGTCTATGGGCCACAGCAACCACTTACTATCAGGTGGACTGTGTGCTCGTATGCAACCTATGCTATAAAAAATGACTAGCATTGAACTTACGGGACTGATGATGAAGAAGATTGTTACGTGGTAGACACGCTGATATCGCTTATTATAGTTGTAGTACAAAAGAGTCGGCTCGACCGGGGTAGGATCACGCTCCCATAGAATACCAGCGTAAAATAGTAGCTAATTGCTGCTGTGTTTTGTATGGTGAGTGTAGAAAAACTGAGACTCTTTTTACTGGAAACAATCTTGATTCTCAGGAATGACAACGCATCTGCATTTTGATTCTTAAAGACATACGTAGATTTCTATGGGCCACAGCATCCACTTACCACCAGGTGGACTGTGTGCTCGTTTGTCACTGTTACTCCATAAAAAGAATTAATAACGAAGAAGAGGAAGATTAATAAAAAAAAATCTCTTGCGAGTTTAAAAATATAAACAGTATTCGTTCAACTGTCACATATTAACAACACAATTGTTGAACTTAATCTATAAAACTGTTAGACACTGACACTGTAGGTCAGTATTACTAGACAATTTCACGGTAATCCCGGCTACTAAACTAATTTCGAGTAAGTATGTTAAATCTCGATGTGCAGTAGGATAACATAAGATATTTTAAAAGCTTAAAGTGAGTAAGTTTTAGACTGGATACATCAAAATATGCTTTCAAACTGTATAGTTACCAGTATTTAAACAAAGAAAAGGGAATGAACGTGTTTTGAAGAGAAATATAAATAAAAAAGTGTTATTACGTAGTAAGTGCAATAAATTATTGCGTCCATAAATTAACATATCAAATGTTATTTTACGATAAAAATATATAATACTGTGAACTAACTCATAATACGACGTCGATATTATGGTTTATCAAGCGATTATTACCTATATCGTTTATGCGCTCCATCAGTTTTTGCGATATCAGACTGAGACGAGTATCAGGAACTTTTGGCCAACCTAGCGGTTATCGCCTGCGAGAGATTGAGGTAAAATACAGTAGGTGATGTATATTAAAATATATTTATATTTTAATTATATATACATAAACCTTACAATTATTCTTTTTATTAAAAAATAAGGGTGACAAACGAGCACACAGTCTACCTGATGGTAAGTGGATGCTGTGGCCCACAGACATCTACATTTATTCTCGATTAAGAATCAAAACGCAAATTCGTTTTCACCCCTGAGGACTAGGAATACCCCATTTCCAGTAAAAGTGGGTCTCCGGATCTCTACACTAACCTTACAAAACTCAGAAGTATTAAGCTGCTATTTTATGCTGGTATTTTGTGAGAGCGTGGTCTTTACCCGGTCGAGCAAACTCATTCGTGCTACAACCATAACATAGCATAAAACAGCGTGGTTCTACCATGTATAAGCTCATGATACTCTGCACTCCCTTCATTTTCTCGAAGCTTAGTTTTCTGAACGTTTCACTTCTACGGCGTGTACGGCGTACGGTTAACTGCACACATATTATCTTTTTCTTTTTCGCTACTGATGCCGATTTCCATAATTTCGTAACACTATGTTCTCAACATTTTGGAGCGGCAAACATTCCATAAACTAATGTATTCCAAAACTAACAAAGTAAACACACAACATGCGTCTTATCTAGCATATAGATTATGGTGATTTGCATAATATTGTTTATTTACGGAGTTCGCTGGCTGTCTCGAATTTTGTCAAAATTTCTATTTATTTACTCTTTTTGATATAACTTTTAGTAAAATTTTAAGAATCCCGTCCGTGAAATAGACCTAATACTTAAACAATCGAAATATTCGTGTATGATTTACGCAACGGGGAAAGGGTTAAATGTAATTCATTTGTGGGGATGGATTTTGTAGTGGAATTTGTTGTAAAAGCGTATACAATGTATACGATTATACAACAAGATCTCAGAAAATGTACAAAATTTGTCATTAAACAAGTTTAAATGTTTATAAAAGAAAATTTGTACAAAAAGGGTTATTATAACATCAAAGAATACATAAATGATAATACCCCCTGAGAGTGAGGTGATCTCCACCAAGCTGGTTCTATAAAAAATAATTGAAAAATTGTACAAAATAAATTATTGTAAAGGGAAATATGTTTCAAAAAAAGTCCCGCTAGGTTTCTTGCTGGTTCTTCCCAGGGCAAAGGTTTTTATTCCTGAACCAGCAATAATCTACATTGAATAAAACTCATTAATTTCATTTCATTTTGCACGCCTCATAAGCGAGACGTTGAGATTGTGCTCTGCTCTCACCTAATTTTTAAATTCTTTTTTTCATAAGGTTAAGAATCTTAACGCACAGGTTCCTTTTAAAAATCACTGAGTAATTTGGTCTCTTAATTGTAATTAATAAAAATGTAAAAAACAACTCGTACTTTTCTACAAAAAAATATTCTCATGGATCTCTTCTTTCGTCTCAAATGTGGAAAAAGAGATATTTTTCTTTTTATATAATCAAATGAGATTATGAGGCGTGCACTTTTGGATTTTCAAAACTTTCAATGATTTGGATGCGGTGGTAAACGAAAAAAGAAATATTAATATAATTTATTCAAATGTAAATCACGGGCGGTCTATTCATATGTCTGTAGTAGTCTTATTTCGGACTGTAGAGACTAGGCAAGCTTCTCGTTGTCCATGGTGGACGGGAGAAGGAAGAATTAATATACGCGATCCCTGCACACATTCCCCGAAATGTAGCCTGTAGAAAACCAAGTAGTAGAGCTACGCTGCAGCTATATTATGGTTGTAGCACGAATAGGTCGGCTCGACCGGGAAATGACCACGCTCTCACAGAATACCAGCGAAAAATAGCAGCTTAATACTGCTGTGTTTCATATGGTTATTGTAGAGATCCAAAGACCCATTTTTATTTACTGAAAACGAGTCTTTCCATCTTAGTCCTCAGGGATGCCGACAGATCTGTGTTTTGATTTTTAATCGAGGATATATGTAGATGTCTATGGGCATGCATCCACTTACCATCAGGTGGACTGTGTGCTCGTTTGTCACCCTTATCTTGTAAAAAAAAAACCACGACCGGATTGAGATCAAGCACAGGACCAACGGCTGAAGTTTTAGTATGTATGAATGCTATATTCAATGCTATATTGAATGCTATATAGAATTCTATATCCGCGTACATTCATCAATATTATTATTACCTATCAAAAGTCTTCTAATGAACATATGCCTGTTCATAAATTGCCTCGTAGGTTTAACGTTAATTAAAACATACTATTTAGTCAATTTTAACATTATTTTTTAACCTAAAATCTTTATTTTTCTATTTAGCGCCGATTATAACCCTTAGTTCTAAGGTGATTGTTTTTGTATCCCTGACCGATCTCACGATCTCAACTTTTTATCGGTACAGAAGACTATAATAGAGTGACCCAGTAGTTTGTTTTGCTGTTGTTGACGTTTGAGATAGCTTCCACATTTATTTATAGGTTGACCTTCTTTTATGCGAAGTAATCCCCCTGACGCGGAGGACAAAAATGGCTATGCTGGTTTTTAATAGGCTGATCCACTGTATTCGTCTACCGTCATAATTAGGAGCTACGGGAATGCCTTTGCTCACTACTGTAGACTTTCACATAACATAAACACTCACGCCTATCACCCAGAGGGATAGGCAGAGACTACAGACTTCTATTTGGCACGATTCTGACACACCTCTCTCGCCTCCTTCACGTACATATACTTACGCATACATGCTCGTCAGTTAAGGGTACTCCTAACTTGGCCCGTTTTCAATAAATCGTTAATTTGGTCGATAAATTGTCGCCTAGAACGTCCCTTTCCGACTCTGTCATTCACTGCAACATAAATTATCTTTTTCACTTTTTCCTCATTCATTCTTTCCACATGACCAAACCACCGAAGCATTCCTTTCTTAATCCTGGTCACAACATCGTCTTTTCTTGAGCTCTGTATGTTGTTAAGATTCTGATTAGTATTTGTTGATTAGTAGTTGCCACACCCAACTTTCACTACCATACGTTAAAGTAGGGATCATCACAGCATTGTGAATTGCCATACGTGCCTTTTTTGACACATTTCGACTCTTCACAATAGAGTGTAGGGACCCATTTAATCTATTTACTCTATATAAAATTCTATTTATGATTATCGTCTATATAAAAGTGGAAGTGTAGACTTTCAATTCCACTTTTATATAGAGGATAACCTAAAGTACCTAATAGTACAATAACCACTACATCGTATAATCTCGAGGCTATCGTAAAAGGCGACAGAGGGTTACTAAAACAGAAAAGGGGCAGCAGCGTTTTACTGATAACAACTTAAGGGGAAATATAACCTCAAATGGCTTAGCAAGGTCCTGTCAGACGATAGTTTAGGTAATTTCTGTTTACAGTGAAAATAATGATATTTTAAAAAAGTAAATAACATAAGCACTGCTTTTGGTTAGTTCAGTTAGTATGCAAAGTTTCATGATCTTATTTAAGTATTTTTGAATCGGTTTATTGTTAGTTTGGGGTAACTTTGGATTTTTTTTTGAGAAAGGAATCGTGTTTTCGTTAACATAAACCTTAACATTATCCTCAATTTAGATATTTATTTCAAAATTAATGCGCAATACTTTCGGAGAGATGCTAGTGAGGTTTATTTAAAGGTGAAGTGAGCGTGGCAGCTATGGTAAAAGCGTGGCAACTATGAAGAGTCTATGGTGGAGGCCTAATTTAAGCAGTGGTCTTTTATAGAGTGTAATGGACCCTATAGTAGAATGCGGAACAAATAATTTTATAGTGTCCTATGTATAATACAGTTTAATAAAACTTGCTGCGTTTTTATTATAAACCTAATATCTTTTGAAATAAGGTTTACATTTGCGAGAGGTTTCACCATTTACGTTTACATAATATGCTAAAATATTTTACGAGACACAAATGAAATACAGAGATAAAAGCATTATTATGTTTATCAGAAGGAAATTTTTGTTGACCCTAAAATAATCGCGTTTTTGTGTAGTGTATGTAAAATTATTCGTCTGTGATATTAGCAATTGTAATAAAACTATCGAAGAAGCTAGTTGTAATGTTTATCTAATTTATTTTTGTATTTTGTTTATTGTATTACATATCCCTTTACATATTAGTTTTTATGTTTAGAAAATTATATAGATAATTATTCCTTTGTGTATTTTTATACCTCATTATGTTATATAATATTATATTAATATTGCGTTTAAACTTTGTTTTAGTTGAAACAATTCTTAGCATTTGCCGCAATGTATCAAATCACCCATGGTTAATAGGAAGATAATAGAAAACGTCTAATTTAAAATTCAAGCCTCTTTTGTACTTTTGATGGGTTTAATCTATTTAATTAATAGAATAAACGTGACAATCTAGCACTCAGTCTGCTTAATGGTACGTGGATATTGTGGTCCTAAGAGTTAAAGTTAAGAGTCCTAAGTTCTTAATCAAAGATAAATGTAGGTCACATTTATCTTTGATTAAGAATCAATATGCAAATGCGTTGTCACCACTGAGGACTAAGATGGAATGCCTCGAATCTAGTTAATAGTTTCTCCGATTCTCTACATTCACGATATTAAATCACTTTTATAATTTCAAATATAATAAATATGCTGAAATTTACCAAAGATCTATTGAAAGAGCGGTAAATGTGACAAAATCTACCAAAAATACAAGAGAGGCGCGTGTTGTTTAAAATTAGACGACCTTTAGCGAAAGTATTAGGTCCACTCGTTATACCCTAGTTTAAGGTGTTAAATAAGTAAGTTATTCCGCCTCATATGAGATAATAATGTCAATTAAGAGATAATTAATAATCTTAGTCAACCATTATGTTCCAGAAGACACGCGTAAAAATAGACATGAACCAAGTAGAAAGAGAAATTAAAGAACGTGAATAATGTATCTTTCCACTCACTTGTAGTGTAACCGAAGTCATCTTCTTCTTCTGGATCGGCCTCTTTCTCTTCTCGGGTCCGTTTGATTGCTCCGGCAGAAGCTCGATCAATCTAAAACAAGTTTACATAAACTGTTAATCTGTATTGAAATAAAAATATTTGATACCATAGATCGTTTAAATCTTTTTTATGCGTGGTAGAGCCATGCTGCACCTATATTATAGTTATAGCACGAATGGGTCGGCTCGACTTGGGAAGGACACTCTCACAGAATACCAGCGTAAAATAGTAGCTTAGTACGTTGTGACGAATAAAACATTTTAATTTAATTTCTTTAAAAAACATTAAATTCACACTAAGATTTTCTTCGTGGAGGCAGCTTATATACATACATTTCATAAGCATAAACATCCAGATCCAGATATTTGACGGTTTTATGGATTATTTGTAGGTCATACAAATACTTGTTCCATGTAGGATTCAAACCTGCGGCCCTCAGCACCGCAACTCATTGCTAAGACACTGCGCCACTGAGTCGTCGCATACATAACGCTAACGCAAAAAGATTGAAGACAGATTAGAATTCAGTTTCGGACTGTCGTGTTCAGACTCAGTAATTGTCTCCAACTACAATAATATCCACGATGCCAGAATATCCAACAACTATCATCATCATCACCATCATCATCATTACAGCCCTTCACAAGTCCACTGCTGAACATAGGAAGGAATTTTGCATGTCTTACCAGGTCGTCACTCCATATAGTAGGTGGGCCGCCCCACACTTCGCCTACCCAAAAACTCTACACTGTATTTTTGTAAAAAAAAAAAATAGTTTTCGGATCTGAATGCGTCTTGATGGTTCCAGTCTCCTTTTAATTCGATCGCATTACCAGACGAATACGAATGAAATTGTGAAAAAAAGTGAGTGCATCTGTGTTTGAGCGATCTTCCAACTCAACGCAATTAGTATTTCAATGAAGTTTTAGTAATTTTTTTCGAAATATTTTTAGTACTTACTGTCTAGTTCTAGTAGAAAGTTTCAAGAGAAAGATTACAAAAAGAGAGATATGTTTTCTTGTTGTTTAATTTGTAGTAGTAATTTATTGAAACTCTTGAACTACGTAGAAAGACATTAAATTAGAGTTGTAACGATTTACTAAAAAGCCTCAAACTACACTTACACCCAAATCTTCAAACTCTGCTCAGTTTTAAGATGTATTTAAGTCTCATGCTGTCTCTATCACTTTAAGTCAAACTGACTGTGACAGCACGACACTAAAAGACATCTTGAAGTTGAGTAGCGTTTTAGTAATTGACCATCAATATCTTATAAGGTCTTACTGCCTCGTTGGTCTAGTGGTTCTAGTAGTGCGACTGCTGACTATGATGTCCTGGGTTCGATTCCCGGGTTGGCCCAAAAATCATTTATTGAGTTTTTCCGTCAAGAAATTCTCAGTAGCTGCCCGGAGTCAGGAAGTTGACGGTGTCTCACCCCCGTGCCTCGGAAAGCACGTAAAGCCGTTGGTCCTGCGCCTGATCTCTCTCCGGTCGTGTCGATTTACTGTCCCATCGGATTATGAGAGTGAGGGAATAGAGAGTGCACCTGTGCTTGCGCATACACTTGGGTAGTATAATCCCGTCCTGTGCCGATGGTTAGTCACCGTTGAGGTCATAATGACCGAAATTTGGTCTGTAGGGCATTAAAACGTCTTATTAAATTTACAATTTTGAAGAGGTGTGAGTAAAGCAGTAAATGAAATCGTGTTCCTAATCTTAGTTATATGCGTAGATGTTATTACTTACTTCCACTCCTTTTTCCGAGTATGTTCTTCCGCCTAATTCTCGTTCGTCCTCTTCATCACTGCTATCAGAATCTGAGTAGTCTGGTTTCGAAGCTTCCGTTTCTGATGAGCCTTTTTCTTTTGTTTCTTTTTCTGCATCTATTTCACCTTCTTTCTCTGTGCCTGCTTCGGATGTCACTGTTATCTGTTAAAAAAAAATAAAGAACGATATAAATATGTATTTCGTTTAAAACATTAAATCTAAAGATTATTTTTAAACTTCTCTGATATCTCCTACTTAAAACTGGTGACAGTTATTAGAGAATCATAGATTTGTTTTAAAATTACCTGTAAACTTGTATAGTCTTTTCCAGTCTAGTCTAGATAATACTTACCTTAATATCATGTTTAGGAGCTCGATCAACCGCTTTTGGCGCTGGATATTTCTTATGTGATGGTTTTCGAGGCGGAGCTGGCGGTGAAGCTTCTACATCTGACGAGTCGGTGTTCTAAACAGTAAAATAAAGGTTCTTACATTTTAACTTTCCATCAGATTTTTTTACAGGATGGGTTGACAAACGAGCACACAGTCCGCCTGATAGTAAGTGGTTGCTGTGGCCTATAGACATCTATATCTATCTGTATATCTAATAATATATATATATATATATATATATATATGTAATATCTAATATCTGTACGTATGTTTGTCACTGAGCTTCTATACTGCTGAACCTGGTTTTTAATGAAATTCCGCATGTGTTTGAGTAGCTCCCTTAATGGTTTTCATCACAATTTGACTTGACTTTGACGGTGAGTAGAGCTCTTATTGAGTTCCAAAAATCACCCGTGCAAATCCGGGGCAAATTGCTAGTTATTTACATGTTTTTTTTTTCATTTAAAAAGCTTGTATTATTAACTTTTTTTATGAAAGTTAGGGTGACAAACGAGCACACAGCCTACCTGGTGACAGGTGTAAGCTGTGTCTCATAGACTTCTACCATCAATTAAAAATCTAAATGCAGAATGCTGACAACAATGATGATGTGTGACTCTGTTTTACATTTCCTCTTCGAGATTAGTCGTAATTCTTTGTTTTACTTGTTAGAAGCCATATGCCAATAAAAAAGCTTTAATACCATATATGGTATTAAAGCTCTATATAGTAGAGCTCACTGACTTTATATTTCAGTTCATACGTGATCGAAAAGATAAAACTACTTACCCAGGCTACCAAGCTCTGTACGGTAAGAGTGACAGTGTTACCGGCAGCCTTAATCAGCTGGACAGCACGCTCATGCTGTGCTGTTCTAACACAAACACCATCCACTTCCAGGATTCTGTCTCCAGACTGAAAGACGAAAAATACATAAAAATATTTTCTAAAGTTTATCTTGCATTTTATATCGGTTACAATGAACATTATTTGGCCGTAGTTAAAATAATTTTATAGCATACGTATATAAACCAACATCATATAATAATAAACATACAGAACTATCACGCATGTTACACAGAGGGGTAGACAGAAGCTATGGGCACCCATTTGGCAAGATCCTGGCACACTCTCTCTCACGCTTAATTCACTTTCGTTTAGGGTTTTCTTATCTTGGCCCATCGTCAAAATATCGCCATTAAGGTTGATTAACTTTAGCCTTAGGTATCTCTTGCAGCATTTGCCACTCAGTTCTGCAACACAAATTTGTTTTGAGACTCTTTGTCTCTCTCATTTATTCTTTCTACGTTTCCCAACCACCGAAACATTCCTTTGAATCTTGCAGACCACACTTTCATTATTAAATTTCTCATTCTATCATTCATAATCAGCCAAAACATACTTCTTAATTACCACATTATGTTAATATATACTATCAATGATGATATAGAAACGTTTTAACAAAATAATAGCTGAACATTGTTAGTGGCAGACTGTAACCAATACGTAAACGTCTGTGTAGAAGTTGCAACAAAAAAATACGGTAATTACCAGAAAGTGACAGCTTCTGACGTTTTCACGTCTATTAATATTCAAAACTACTTAGCACTTAAATGTCACATGTTAAATATTTTGTACAAAAAAATCTCAATATAATACATACTTATGACGTAAAATTATTTTTATAACTGATATGTAAGCAAATTAGTTGCTGGAGTATATTTCAAGAAGAACGTGCCACTCAGTAAATGTTCGTGATTTAAGTTATGCGGCTTGGGGAAAGAAAAAAACGGTATCTACACTTCTAAGCATCAATAATTTGTACATTATTTTACATCGATACTTCAGTACTTTAGTTTCTTTGAATTTAGTCCACTCGCGGGAATACATTTTCTTTGTGTATAGTCCTTTATCGTATTTTGAAGAAAATATATGATAACTTCATTCCAAAGCTATATTTATGTAATGGTGCATTTATGAAACACTCAAACTATAGTTGGGTGCAGCAGAAGAAGCATGAAAGTGAAATTAATGCTGTAGAAATGCGGTCTTGAGGAAGTATAGGAAATTGTGTGCCAAGAGAAAAGTGTGGTTTGTAAAAAATATTGTAATTAGGATTAAGAAAGGAATGCTTTGGTAGTTTGGGCAAGTAGAAATAATGAATAAGGAAAGACAAAGAGTGACAAAGCAAAATGTTGCAAAAGTGGTTTGCAAGAAACACCCTAGTAAAGTTTTCTACACGTGGTAGAGCCACGCTGCAGTTATATTATGGTGGTAGCACGAATGCGTTGACTCAACCGGGCAGGACCACGCTCTCACAGAATACTAGCGTAAAATAGCAGTTCGCTGCTGTGTTTCGTATTGTGAGTGTAGTGATCCGGAGACTTACTTTTTACTGGAAACGCACTCCATCTTAGTCCTCAGGGGTGACAACGCATCTGCGTTTTGACATTAATTTTTATTTAATTGAGAATAAATTTAGAGGTCTATGGACCACAGCATCCACATACCATCGGGTGGACTGTATGCACGTTTGTCACCCTTATTCTATAAAAAAAGTGTATTGACCAAATTGGCGATATTGAAAATATGTATAAGATATGGATGTCAAAGAAGAGAGAAGTGTGTCAGGATAATGTCAAATGTAATTCCCTAGTCTCTGTCTACCTTACTTACTTACTTACTTACTTATCTTCACGCACAATCCCTAACGGAGTAGCCAGAGAGAACAGATCGCCAAGTGTCACGATCCTTACATACCTCTTTCGCTTCTTTCAGGTTCATTAACTTCTTCATACATGCACGTCTAGGTATCCGAGTACTCTTGACCCTCCCCTCTTCGAGCAATTTGCTCACATGGTCTTCGAAAGTTAGTCTCGGTCTACCTCGACACCTTTTAATATTTACTTTCGCTCTATATATTTTCTTCACCATTCGGTCTTCACTCATTCGTTCAACGTGCCCAAACCATTGGAGTACGCCCCTATCAATTTTCGTAATAAGGTCATTTTTCAATCCTGCTGTATTGCGAATCTCTTCGTTTCGCTTTCGGTCGGCTAAGGTAACCCCACACATTTTACGAAGAGATCGCATCTCCACTGCATTCAACTTGCTTTTATGCTTCTTCTGGCATACCCAGGTTTTTCTTCTGGCATACTCTGTCTACCTCACTGAGTAAAAGCCGTTTATGTATGTATGTATTATAAATATAACTACTATTCAAGGAAAAAGTAAGTACTTGCCTGCAATTGTCCACAGAGGCCAGCAGGACTGTTGGGGACAACATTTTTGATGAAGATGCCGAAAATTGCCTTTTCATCACCATTGGCAGTGTTTTGATTTGGTATTATATCGACCTGTTAGAAGAATTTCTTTACTTTAAAATTTGATAGATTACACAAAAACATATATTCATAAGACAAACTTAAAAACCAATCTGTACAACCAGTGAGTGTTGCCAGTAATGACGGATGGATCTGCGACTGATTCTTCAATGCTGGCCGTATGATGAAGCTCAAGGTCGCTTAGCGAACTATCGAGAAGGCTATATATAATCGGGGTTTTTCTGCATGAGACTTAGAAACGAGGATATTCGCAGTAGATAATACCTATAATATAACCGACGTAGCCCAATGGTTCAGTAATCTGCAGCTATGTTTTTTGTTTAATAATTATCTTAGTAGTATAGTTGTAGTACGAATGGGTCGGCTCGACCGGGGAAGGAAAACAAAAGGATTAAGCTCTCACAGAATACCAGCGTAAAATAACAGCTTAACGCTGCTGTATTTTGTATGGTGAGTGTAGAGAACCGAAAACCCCTTTTACTGGAAACGCGACATTCCATCTTGGTCCTCACGGATAACAACGCATCCGCGTTTTGATTCGTAGTCGAAGATAGATTTAGGTGTCTATGGACCACAGTAGACACTTATCATCAGGTGGATTGTGTGCTCGTTTGTCACCCTTATCCTATAAAAGAATAACTCAATGAACCGACCATGTAGTTAGTTTGACTCAAAATATTCGTGTAAATTTTTTAATAAACGTTACCTCCACACTAGGATTTTCTCCTGTATCGTGTGGGCAGTTTACAAACATAAATTTCACAAGTACAAACATCCAAAACCGGAACAATTAGTTGCAGGCCATAAAAATACTTCCGTTTCGTGCGGGATTCGAACCCGCGGCACTTAGCGCTGTAACTCATAGCTAATAAATTCGATTTGATTTTAATTTGAGTACTTGTCAGGAAGGTACTGCCGCCAAGACGCTTCTGCTTTTACTACGATACCCATGGTATGATATAGGTTAGTGAATTAGCTTACGTCATCACCACCGGCCATAGGTTAAGGCTTAGTGTTTATCACCCTAATTATCATCATTGTAGCTCATCACAAGTTTATCACTGAACATAGGCCCACCCCAAGAAAGACACGAAGCACGGTCCTGAGCCACCTACATCCATAGACATCCTGTATAAGTTACTAAGTCGTCACCCCATTTTTTTATAGAAGAGGGGGCAAACGAGCATGCGGCTCACCTGATGTTAAGTGATTACTGCCATGGTCCCATGGACAACCGCAACACCAGGGGAATTGCAGGCGCGTTGCCGGCGCTTTAGAAAGGAGTCAACTTTTTTCTTGAAGGTCCCCACGTCGTATCGGTCCGGAAAAATCACCGGTAGTAAACTATTCCACAGAGAGGTCGTACGCGGAAGAAAACTCGTTGTGAAACGTACAGTGGTGGACCGCCAAGCATCCAGATGGTGTGGATGGTATCGGGACGTTTGCCGCGTAGTGCGTTCACGAAATTTGGCGGCTGGGATTAATCCAAACAATTCCTCAGAGCACTTTACATGGTATATGCGAAAGAAAATGCAAAGAGATGCAACATCTCTTCGCAGCGCCAGTAAATCGAGCCGATCGGAAACCAGTCGGTCGTCGACGATTCGCCGCTCTGCGCTGGATGCGGTCAAGTGGAAGGAGCTGATACTGAGGAGCCCCAGCCCAGAGATAGGAACAGTATTTCATGTGCGGCCGAACCTGCACCTTGTAAAGTTGCAGGCGGTGTGCCGGCATGAAATACTGTCCCGCTCTGCTGAGCACGCCAAGCTTTTTTAGAGGCCAATTTGGCCTTCTTTTCCAAGTGACCACGAAACTGCACGTCACTTGATATGTCGACGCCGAGGATTCCGATACTGGCTGAGGCAACAAGGGGAGTGTCTTGAAACTGAGGAGATACAACAAAGGGGTTCTTTTTAGCGGTAAACCGCAAACTTGTATCTTCTGGGGGTTAAAATGGACTAGATTTATTCGCCCCTAATCCGAGACTCTGTTCAGCAACTCGACTTCAGACACAAGTTTGTCCCGGTACTCGGAGACGTTTTCCCGAGAAATATTGGCACGGCCGGTGTACAGAGCATCACCAGTGCTGTCATCTGCATATAAATGAACTTTCCATCATATGAGTTTGCCATTAGAGAAACTTTCTTGTCATCGCTTGTCGGTTCTTCGAGCTATATGACCGGCCCATTGCATTGTCACTTCAGTGTACTAATCTGTTAGGCTAAGTCGGTTACTCTGGTTCTACTGCGAATATCCTCATTTGAACTTTATCACGTACAGAAACTCCAAGCACAGCAGACTTCAAATCATTTATAACATTAATATTTTTTATTACTATCATGCAAATGGAAAAAATGACTGTCAATTTTTAAATTTTCATACATTTAATTAAAACGAATTAGACCCTTCGCAGGAATCTGGGTAAACTTAAAATATATCCCCAAGGATGTGAAAATTTAAGTTCTTACTTGGAAACAAGTTGCGGTGTGTAATAAATACGGGTAAATTTTAGAATGATTTACAACTAAACGTAAGTTAATAAATATTAAGTTTTCCGAATATTGAAGAAGGGAATGAATTTATTACGATTGGATTTTATGGGTTTTAAGTTGTTTTGCGCGCGATCCTAATTCATATTCTAAGATAAAAGAAGCTTAAGTTACTTATTATTACATCAACTATCTGCCAGTGAAAGTCTCGTCAAAATCGGTCCAGCCGTTTCAAAGATTAGCCGTAACAAACAAACAGACAGTCAGACAGACAAAAATTATAAGAATTGTTATTTTGTTTTAAACATCTTACTTCTATATGTATTCACAGGCGTTACTTTGTGGAAATCCATTATATTAAAGTTGGTAAAAATTACCCGCTCCCGTCACTCGTCTTAAAATTAGAATAACATAACGATAACTATTTCAAATATAATATTTAAATAAAAGATTAACATGGAAATACCTTACCTTTCCACCGACAATACTAACGCCTAGTGGAGCTCCAGGGCTTCTCTTTAACGTGACAGAGCGTGGTGGACCCCAGCGTTGAGCACCAACAGTGTGGCGGTCAGATGTGACGGTCACTGTCATGTTTGGGTGGCTGACGTGACTGCTGGGCAAAGATTTAATGAATAAATATTATCATGAATATCTTAATGAATAAAACAAAATAATTTGCAGCGCTCTTAATAATAGCGCTCTCACAGAACATCAACGTAAAATAGCAGCTTAATGCTGCTGTGTTTCGTACGGTGAGTATAGAGAACAGGAGACCCGTTTTACTGGAATCGAGGCATTCCATCTTAGTCCTCAAAGGTGACAACGCATCTGCATTTTTATTCTTAATCGAGGTTAGATGTAGATGTCTATGGACCACAGCATCAGGTGGACTGTGTGCTCGTTTGTCACCCTTATCCCATAAAAATATTAACACTATTGATAATCCCTTTAACCATTCCAGCTATGTTTAAAATGCTTATGTTAAACTGAGTAGAGCAGCTTTTAATTCAAGCCTTCGAATGGAAATAGGTTTCAAAGGAGCTACCCTTGAGCGGAGAGTAGCTCCTTTGAAACCTATTGCCCTCTCTCTCTCTCTCTCTAACTTGCCTCTCTTCGTTCTGGTTGGTGGTGATGTAATACACCGAGGCGGCATATGTTATGATGTGCATCCGTGAATGTTTGCAACTCCCCTTTGCTGATATCTCCAGCAATTGGTCTAGGTACTTCTAAGTGACCTAACTTCTTAACTTCAGTAGTTCATGACAGTAGTCGAATGGCGAATTTGAACCTACATCCTTTCAGCTTCGTAGTGCCGTAGTCTTAACAATTAGACTGTGATCATTTTTTTTAATGATAATGCATGGTCTACTACAATATGTTAAGCTGGGTTATCATAGACAGTAATCCGTGCAAAAAAAAAAAGATTTTCCTTTCTTTACCTATGCACACTGAACCACAAATTCACTACTTAACGTCGGACTTTGTATAGAAACCACAAAGCATGGTCCTTAACTACGAGCATCCATCGATTTCCTGTTCGTTTTTATTTTGTTTGTCAATTTTGTGTCCATAAATTTAAGCTTCGTTATCACTTAGGAAAATGTACTACGTTGTCATAGTCTCGTTTTAATTCTCTGGTAATTGAATAAAACTATTATTTACGGATTTTATCGCGTTTAATTACTTTAATTTATTTTTATTATTATCCCGACGTTTCGGGTGCTTTACAGCGCCCATGGTCACGGGGGGTACTGAGATGTTTGACGTCCCAATGTCATAGTTAGTCCGGCTGCCTTCAGTTTTTTAATATTAATTTTTGGTCCGATTTACGCCAAACGAGCTTATAGTATCATGAAGTCTTGCAGTGGTATGCTTGGGTTTGGGTTTAATTTTGTTGATTATATATCTCTTTGTTTGACCTATGTAAGAGAGACCACATTCACAATCTAGCTTGTGGTCTCTCTTACATAGGTCAAACAAAGAGATCTATAAAAACCCGCGTGAAGGAACATATAGCTGATGTGAAGCACCGACGCTCCGGGAAGTCTGCAGTCTGCGAACATGTTCAAGATCGTCCCCACCATTACATTAGATTTGATAAACCACAAATTCTCGCAAAAGAACACCGATTCCTACCAAGGATGATACGCGAGGCTATTGAAATTAAAAAACATCCAAATTTCAATAGAGAAGATGGTTGGGTGCTACCATCTGCTTGGGATCCTATAATCAACAAAATTAAACCCAAACCCAAGCATACCACTGCAAGACTTCATGATACTATAAGCTCGTTTTGCGTAAATCGGACCAAAAATTAATATTAAAAAACTGAAGGTAGCCGGACTAACTATGACATTGGGACGTCAAACATCTCAGTCCCCCCCGTGACCATGGGCGCTGTAAAGCACCCGAAACGTCGGGATAATAATAAAAATAAATTAAAGTAATTAAACGCGATAAAATCCGTAAATAATAGTTTTATTCAATGTGTAGTGTTCGCGTAAATTTAAGAAATCATTATTCTCTGGTAATTTTTTAAAAATTTAAGTAATGCGTAGTTTTAGTTTAGACGGCTCTTTGGCGCAGTGGCTGAGCATTAATTTGCGGTGCTGAGGGTCGTGGGTTCGAATCCAGCACTGAACAAATTCGTCCTAGTGCAATTAATATTTGTAAACTGTCTCTACGATACAGGACAATATCCTACTGTTTTCCTAGTTTTTTTGAAGTTAATTATTTGGTGATTACATAACTGAAATAAGGTTATTGTTATTTTATACTTTCAATAATTTACCTACTTAATTGTTTTGTTGTGTTCTTATTAAGGCCCTTCAGGGTTGTTTATAACATACTGTACATTTATTTCGTGTCTTATCCGGACCCCGACCTCAATGGTTTAAACCTAGATGGAGGGAGAAGGGTCACCCGATCTCGTCTCTACAAGGCAACCACTTTAGAAACTTCTTCCCTATTGTATTAGAGCTCTTCGAGCTAAATGGCCGACCCGTTAATCCCCGAGCTCATAAACCCTCCATAAATTAGACTTTTAGTATTTTAAAGTGACAAACAAAATATAATTTCACAATAGGTAATTTATACTAGCCAATGGACACCAGCAACCGACTTTAAACCAAAAAAGGTCACGGATCTTTCCTTGGGACTAAGAGGAAATGCCTTGTAGCGTGTTATAACACTAACAATCTTAACTCTCTGACCAGAAACTTAACAATTAACGTACAGATGCTTCGAAACAGAATAAATCAGATAAAAGATAGAAATTAGATAAAAATAAAATTAGAATATCATCAATGTATAAGAAGTCAATTAAATACGCATTATTAAAGATAGCTCAAAAACTATTGGTCAGATCTTGATCAAATTAATATGAGACCACACGAAAATTACCAGCTTTCAAATAAGAAAAGAATTATTAAAATCGGTTCACCCAGTAAAAGTTCTGAGGTAATATATATAAAAAACATGCAGTTGAATTGAGAACCACCTCCTTTTTGAATTCGGTTGAAAAATACTATCTACTCGTAGTGTAAGAGCCTTACCGCCTACTAAAATAAATTATTCAAATTCGTCCAACATCACAAAGAAAAGTAACCTTTACGTGGAATACATAAGATTGCTTAACTTAGATATACGAGCATACGTCACGCCTAATGCTCGTAGATCTAGTACATTTAGATCTATATAGACCGTACGGGATTAGAAACGGTGGCTCATCGAGCCCGTACCGTTAACACGCACAGACCTAACAGCGAAAACCTGCTTGTATACCCAAGTAGGTATACGAATTTTAAAATAATATTTGTAACTATCAGCCCGCTCTGGTTTTGCTTGGATAAGATCAATTAATGTGGCGTTATATAGACTTAAGATAATCATTAGACCATTTATTTTATCTTATAAATTTTTGCATATTAATAAAATGTATTTTCGAATAAAATTTAGTCTCGATCACTCCTGGTATCCCTTTCTATTTGTTCGTGAGGTTTTATTGCAATCGGTTCAGCCATTTCAAAGATTGGTTCGTACAGACAGACAAACGAACATTTAAAAATTTCTACTCATGTCAACATTGGCATATAAATATTGTTTACAAAAAACTTACAAACTAAATCAACAATGATTACGAAAAATTCTCAGAACGCATCGTAGTTCACAAATTAGCAAAACCGAAATGATTTTTTTGTAGTTTATGTGAATTTGTTATCATTGATTCCAATAACATGTTTGACTGAAATTATAAACGTACCGAACAATGCATGTTGCAACGTATTTTTTTTTGCAATCTTTACCGACGCGTCTTAGTATAGATAGCGACAGTGTGTGAGCGAGAGGTGAATAGACGCGACGCCATTTTCAATCCCAATCCTTAACGACACAGGTATTACAATGCAATAATCTTTATTGTACATCAAGAAAAAAGACTATAACATTTTTTTTTACTTTTTCTACGTGGTAGAGCCATGCTGAAGCTATATCAGTAGTATAGTTGTAGCACGAATGGGTCGGCTCGACCGGGGAGGGACTACGCTCTCACAGAATACCATCGTAAAATAGCAGTTGAACGCTGCTGTGTTTCGTCTGATGAGTGTAAAGAACTGAAGACCCTTCTTACAGGAAACAGTTTAGTATTAGTGCCAGTCCCCACGGGCGATAACGTATCTGCATTTTTAATTCGAAGACAGATGTAGATGTCCATGGGTCACATCAACCACTTAACATCAGGTGGACTGTGTGATCACCCTATTCTATAAAAAAATACAAGCAATGAAGGAAAAAGGGTGAAAGACGAGTAGGATGCAATAGAGTAACAAAGGATAAAAAATTATGCACTTATTAATTATTACTTTTAAAGAAAAGTAAATACCGACTTCAAATAACTATAAAAGAAGTTATTTATTTGCAACCCTTAGGAGTGGAATTTTTTTTTTCAAAATTTATATAAAATATATGTATGCTTTTGAAGTAACCTATTTAAGAAAAAAAGAATCATAAAAATCGGTTCTTTATCTGTGAAGATATCATACGAAATTTCTTAAAAAATAATCCAATATGAAACTTCTTCACCTATTTTACACCCTTGTGAGCAGAATTTTATCTTCAAAACTTAATGGTACCACCCTTGAGTTAAAGCCTACTTAATAAAATAGAATCATTGACACCAGTTCACAATCTGCGAAGATTTATCGCGTAACATAAATACAAAAAAAAATAACATACACTCGACTTCGGAACCTACTCCTTTTTGAAGTTACTTAAAAAGGAAACAGACTTTAGTGACAATAAATGTAAGCAAGAAGAGAGAGTGGTTAGAGAGACAAAAGAATGTTCCTTATCCTGTTATTTGCACAAATGTAGGGACTGAGCACGTTTTATATACAGAGGTAAGGATTTACAGCCTTACTGAAAGAACATAGAAATATTTGCCGTAAAATATAGAGGTATGCACAGAAAATTGGAGGATTTTACTTGGACCGTAAGGAAACATTATGACAGGAGCTGCTTTTTAGGCAAATTCCAAATTATAATAAAAATAATATAAGGGTTGAAAAAACTAAAACTGATAATTATTACGTTTC